GCAGGGACCCCTGGCAGGGGGTCGGATCCCTGTGGTGGGACACTGCCTCCAGCCAGCTGGCACCTGCAGAGAGCGTGGGCAGGACTCCCCAGGGAGCTGGAGCAGAGTGAAACCCTGGGGACTGGGCCACCCTAACTGCCCAGTGGTGACCAGGGAAGGGGCCTGGGAAGGTTTACAAACTGCTGCAGGCAGGAACAGTCAGAGTGGACGCAGAGGATGGAGCTGTTTTCCTGAGGACCAGCTAGCACTGGGCTGGCACCACTGGCTCTGGCAGCACTATTGCTCTGCACCTCTGTATCCCTATACCGTCCCAGCATCTGGTGGCATTGTGGACCGCCCTCATTCCAATGGGAATCCCCCTACCCACCCTTCTGTGACACTGGGAACAGAGAGCAGCACAAGATTTATGGAGACATTTATTTCCAGCATGACCAGAAGGGAAGGGGGAGTACAGGGGCAATACGCAGGACTGGGGGTACAGGAATGCTAGTGCTAATACTCAGTTAGGGAACTGGGGGTCTGCACCCCCACGGAGCCGCAGGAGCATGAAGATTGTGCTCCTGGGCTGGACATCATAATGTACCAGCATGTGCCGGTCCTCCAGCTCCTGGAAGTTGTATGTCAGACGCTGCTGGTCAGCGGGAGGCCCCTGCTGTCTGTGGATCTGCTCTTTCAGCTGCCGGACAGTGGTGGTAGGCAGCACCGTGTAGGTGGTGGTCCGGCTCTTGTCATCCTTCACAAAGACTTCCATCGCTTGGGGCTCTGTCTGCAGCAGCAGCAGAGTGGTGCTGTAGAAGATGCCGTGGGAGGCCAGGGTCGTGCCATCCTGTAGGACAATGGAACTCCTGCCCAGCTCCTGCTGTGCCAGGCGCTGCTGGTACCAAGGGATGCCCCACTCCTGCTCAATCGCCTCCTTCAGTTGCTGGATGGTTTTGCCAGGGCTGACGGTCCTGCTCAGGCTGGTGCCCAGCAACTGCCTCACCTCTATCTTCACAGGCCGTGCTGGCTGCAGGGATACAAGAGTAGGTGGGCAAAGCTGCGGGGTTGGGAGAGGGGGGGGAATGCCACAGGGCAGGCAGCCTTACGTGCACAGCCCAGGGCTGGGCAGTACTGATGCAGGGCAGGGAACGGTGGCTGGCAGCTCCCTGTGCAACCAGGTTCCAATTCTTGCCTTGGCCAAGGATCCCTGTTGGGTCAGCGGGGTCCAGGATGATAGGGCTGCATACACAGAGCGTGGAAACTGCTGTCAGCCCTGGGCAGCACTGTGGGGCACACAGCACGGGTCCCACCGGGAACAGTGCTCACCAGGGACTGCGCAGCAGCGTCTTGATGTGGGCACCAATCTGGTTGTGCTGGAGCGAGTAGTACTTCTCCCAGTAGATGCAGATCTCCTGGTGTCGGCACAGCAGCTCCAGCACTGTACGGAAGCCTTCAGCCATGACAAAAGAGTCAGAGGAGCCTGTGCCCTCCTCCCAGGCATAGATGGTCAGCAGCTCCAGGGCATACTTGGGGGGCAGGTCTGCAGTGGGGTACTGTGGTTTCAGCAGCTGGGCAGGAGACAGCGACAGGGGTGAGAGCTGGCCAGGTCGAGTGGCTGGTGGGTGCCAGGGAAGCTGGGCAGCCCCTCACCTCCTTGTACCAGTGCTTCACCAGGCGCAGAAGATTCTTCAGCTTGGCAGGGTAGCGCTTCACAAACTTTTTCTGAAGCTCAGTGAAGCAGGGGGAGAACTCCCCAGGGTCACTGCTGGCTTTCAGGAGCCCTATGTACACACTTGCATCCGGTGGGGCATCCTGGCTCAACTGCCCTGTGGGGTGAGAAGGAGGGTGAGAGCCATCCCGGTGCTGACACTGGAACCCAGCCTCACACCAGCCTGCAGCCCTTACCCAAGGCATCATAGGCAGGCAGAATGTCCACCTCGATGGACTCCAAGGTGTCCTTGGAGTAGAGAGTGAGGCTGAGGGAGCGCGGTGTATTACCAGGACCCTTGTACCGGGGCTCACTGATGCTCATGGTGAATGTTAGGCTCTGCCTGCAGGTGCGCAGTCTCTTCTCAATCAAATCCAGGATATACCTCCTCTCCTGCTTCTGCTGCTGGTAGCTGGAGAAGCAGCTAAGGAAGAGCACCACGTCGGCATCAGAGTTGTTCTGCAAAGCTGTGCCCTTGCCTGCTGAGCCACCCTGCAGAAAGACACCCTGCCTACTCGGCACTGCTGCCCCTCAGCACGGGGATTGCCCGCCACCATTCCTGGAGCTACCATTCCTGGAGTTGCCATTTCTGAGGCAAGGCAGGAGCTGGAGCAGCAGGACAGAGGAAATGGTGACAGTAGGGGTGCTGGCTGGTGCCTGAGCCGGGCAGCACTCACCTTGACAGTCTTGTGGACGCAGATGCCTGTGTCGAAGCAGTCCTCCTTCAGGAAATCACAGATCTGCTTCACTGTCTGCTTCACCTGCCTGCAGAAAACCATGCTGGGTTGCAGGGTCTTCATGATCCAGGTGTCCAGCTTGTTGCTGGCCACCGTCCTCAGCCCGTCCGTGGATGTCTCCTGCTGCACATCCATGCTGCCAGGTCTGGTCACTCCTTCTACTCGCTCCTGCCTGCAGCTGCCTTCCCCTGCCCTCACCAGGTTTTAAACCTTCCCGGGCCACCCCCCCCCCCCAACCCTCCGATGGCGTCACCACCAGGCATTTAAGGTGGCTCCAGAGCCCGGGGTTTTGCCTCTCCACTGGCCCGCCTCCCCGGGGAGCTCCTGCTCGCCGGTACCTCCGACGCCCTCCCCGCGGGAGCAGAGAGGGGGCAGGAGGGGCTGCGGGGCACCGCCGTTACCCCGGCACCAGGTGGGAGCCTGGGGCTGGGGTGCTGCAGGATATCTTGGCCCGGAGGGACAGCGGTGGCACAAGGTGTCCCCTGGGTGCACCACGGGAACCCTGCCCGAGGGCTGGAGGTGCCCTGTCTCCACCAGCGCCTGCCTGCGCCCACATCGGGGGCTCGCGTGTTCGAACTTTGGGACATGGCTGGTAGCTCGGTGTCACCGTGGGCAATGGAACATGGTCAGTGCCAGTGTCACCAAGGGCAATGGGATGTGGTCGGTGCCGGTGTCACCGGGGAGCCTGCTGTCACCGCGGGCAATGGGACGTGGTCGGTGCCAGGATCACCCGGGGCCCGGGTGTCACTGCACGCAGCGGCAGGCGGTACGGGCAGGACGCTGCTGTCAGCGCTGCCTTAAGCGCCGGCTACACTGGAGCCAGGAAACGGGAGTTTCTGTTTCTGCGCCGCTTTCGATTTCTGATTCCGCTGGCTGGAAACGAAAGTACGTTTGGATGGAAACGAAAGCCCTTGGCGGCTCCAGCCCCTCGTCCCTTCCAGCCCCCTCGTCGCTTCCATTTCCCCCCCCCCCCCCTCCGCCTCGCTTGCCTGCTCTGGGAAACTAGGAAGAGCCAAAAGTCTGAAACTGAGGTCTGGAAACTCAGGGTAGGGTCGGGGAGGAGCTCATCCAGTACAGGCAGGAACATGAAGACAGGAAGGCAATGGAGAATGGAGGCAGAAGCAGGAAGGGAAAGGTGGTCAGGACATGGGCAGAAGACGGGCAGGGGGTAGGGAAAGGAGGCAGGAGGGGACAGGGATGGGGCAGCAGCAGGGGCAGGGACAAATATAGGGGTGGGGATGGGCATTGGGTGCAGTCGGGGTCAGGGACAGGGATAAGGTGGCAGGCAGGGCAGGGGTAGAGACGGGCAGGGACAAGGGAAGTGGCAGAGATGAGGGCAGGCGCAAGAGCAGGGGCAGGAGCACTGTTACGGGGAGGGATACAAATGGGAACAGCAGCAGGTGTTTGGGCAGGGATACAGGCAGGGGCAGGGACAAGGACAGAAGGAGAGATATGGGCAGGTATGCTGACAGGGGCAGGGCTGTGGGCAGGAATGTGAGCAGGGAGAGGGGAAGGAGAGGACCAGCAGTAGGGGTACAGGCAGGGGCAAAGCTGTGGGCATGGAGAAGTGACATGGGCATTTCACATCTGGCCTGTGCAGCTCGAGGAGCAAGACAAGGACACCAAGGCAAGAGCAGCAAGAAAGAGTCATTCTTTGTTCGCACCTACGTGTGTCCCAGACAAATCGGGGCACCCCAAATGTGTTTTCACACGTGGCTCTCACACCTTTTGCATGCCGAGGTACAGCGCAGTCTGATCAGCCTCTACTCACCCCACCACACACCTCCTCTGCAAAGCCACTGGAGTCTCCTAGGATGGGATCATCCTTCTTCCCTTAGCCAGGTATCCCTGGAGTCACTACAGTGCCTGTCTGTGAGGGTGTGTAATGGGAAGGCCGCAGGTAGGTGTTGGAGGGGCTGAAGTGCTGCAGTGGCCTTCATCCCCCGTGGTGGCGCTCTCGCTCCTCCCAACGACCTGGGGTCCTGTAGCCACCAACCGTTCACACAAAAATCTGCAGATTAAGAAAGTTCATGCAACTTCATACTATAATGACTAATTGGTACAACAGTTAGAGAAGGAGATTTTCCTAATGAGGTGCAGACGGGGCAGCGGAAGGGATTGGGCAGGGACAGTGATGGGACAGGGAAACAACAACGGGACAGGGGCACGAGCAGACATACGGGGGATACGGGCGGGGACACGGGGAATACCGGCGGGGACGGGACGGGACGGGACGGGACGGGACGGGACGGGACGGGGACCAGGGCTACAACGACGGCGCCTCACCCCGGCGCCGCGCGCCAGGAGCTGCAGCCCGCATGCGCAGGGAGGGGTGGGCGCTCCCAGGGGGCTGCGCGGCGGGGCCACGGGGGCGGGGCCAAGGGGCGGGGCGGGGCCACGGGGCGGGGCGGGGCTCCGCCTGCGTAGGCTATGCCGCGGACCCGCCGGGCCATGCGCCGTGAGTGGGGTCCGCGGGGCGGGAGCGTGGCGGGATGGGGATGGGGATGGGGATGGGGATGGGGATGGGGATGGGGATGGGGATGGGGATGGGGATGGGATGGGGATGGGGATGGAGGCCAGGACCATTCTTCCGTCCCGTCCCGTTAGCGGGGGGGTCCGCACAGGTTCCGTGCCTCCCTCATGGCCCCGCCGTGTGTCCGGGCTGACTGGGGCTTGTCCCCACCTTCCGCAGGTGGCCCCGGCAGCGGCCGGGCGGTCTCTCACGCTAGCGAGGAGGAGACCGGCAGCGAGGTGCTGAGCCACTGCAGCAGCGCCAGCGAGGGGGGCAGCCCCGCCGAGGAGCCCACAGGTGAGCGCCGGTGTCCCCGCGGTGTCCGCGCTGCTGCGGTGTCCCCCACCGGTGGGACTTCCGTGACACGGTGCCACTCCGGCAGGGAGCGAGGCGGCGGGGGAGCAAGCGCAGGAGGAAGAGGTGGAGGACAGGCTGAAGGAGCACATGGACAGCCTCCTGGACAAGAGGTAACCAGGCGGCTGTCGCCCCGGGCACACCTGGCACGCTGCTGTTCCCCGTTTGCGCTGCCAGCCAGCGGCTGGGACATGCCCTGTACCGGGCCACCTCACCTCATGACCTCCCATGGTCTTTCCCAGCGCCAAGACGCGGCTGGCGGCACTGCAGAGCTTGCGCCTGGCCTTCTGCTCCAGAACCCTCTCCGAGTTCCTGCTGGAGCGCCGCCTCACGCTCGCTGACTCGCTGGAGAAGTGCCTCAAGAAAGGTCTGGGCGCAGGAGGGCATCGAAGCTGTGGGTGGCGGGGCCATGGCCCGTGTCTGAGGGAGGTCTCTCATGCTGCCCGCAGGTAAAGGGGAAGAACAGGCGCTGGCAGGCACCGTCCTCACCCTCCTCTGCCTCCAGATGGGCTCTGGCCCGGAGGGGGAAGAGGTGTTTCGCAGCGTGAAGCCCCTGCTCATCAGTGTCCTGACAGACAGCATGGCCAGCCCTGGCGCTCGGCAGAGTGTAAGGCCTGGACCCTTTCCTCCTGGGCGCAGGGGACACCTCAGCTGTGGGGAGAGCCCAGGCAGTGCCTTGGGGGTCCCTGCAGTCACAGGGGGGTGGCAGAATTGGAAGCAGTGGGGTAAAGCAGGGACACACCAGCCCTACTTCCCCCCTTGGCTGGGTGCTGGATCTGACCTGGCACTGCTGCCTCTGACTGCCTTTTCCTCATGTCTCTTGCCAGTGTGCCACAGCCTTGGGTATGTGCTGCTACATTGCTGCTGCTGATCTCGAGGTAACTGTGCCTCAGTGTTGTCTGTACCCTGCTGGAGGGCACCCTGGGGCTTGCTGTACCACCAACCCTCAGCCCACAGTGCCAGGGCAGCCTGAGCTGAGCTGAGCTGGGGAGGGGGTACAGGGACATCAGTGACAGCCCAGGCCCCTTCCGTGGGCAGCATGGAGCTGAGCTGGGGGGAAGTCTGCCTTGTAGAAATGGGGTGTCCTGGGTGAAGGAGCCTCCTGGTGTCATTGGATGGGGTGGGTCCCTGTTGGTCCCCTGCTGTGTGGCTTCACTGTGGTGGCAGCTGTGTTCTGACAGGTGGCTTTCCCCCTTCCAGGACCTGGTCTCATGCCTGTCCTGCTTGGAGAGCATCTTCAGTCCCCCCAGCTCATCTGAGGAGGGCTCGGCACCCTCCCAGGATGGCCCTCTGCACTGCAGCGCGCTCCAGTCATGGTCCCTGCTCCTCACCATCTGCCCCCCATCCCACATCAAGAGCATCTTGGACAAGTGAGTAGGGTGGGGGCAGCCAGCTGCAGAGGGGGGAGCCCCTGGGGTAGCACCGAGCCCCCCTGACTGTGCTCCGGCCTTCCTGTCCCAGTGGCTGGCTGAGGCTGCCCCTGCTGCTGGCCAGCAGCAATGTTGCGCTGCGCATCCTGGCTGGGGAGACTGTCGCGCTGGTCTTCGAGCTGGCTCAGGACATGGAGGTACATTGGGGTACGGATGGGCAGCAGAGCAGCAGAGAGCTGCTGGCACCAGCCCCCTGCCTGTGCCCCAGCTGAGCTGGCACTGATGGTGTTGGGACACTTCAGACTGGTGTCACCAGCAGGTACCCAGGCAGAGGGACTGGCTCCGGTGATCCTGGTGACAGTGGTGGGCAGTGCCTGGAGCCACATCCCCTCCAAACCCCGTATTTTGGCAGGTGGATTTGTGCCACCAAGATACGGTGTTCCTGTGTGCCCAGCTCAAGGTGCTGGCTACTGAGAGCAAAAAGTATCGAGCCAAGATGGACCGACGGAAGCAGCGCTCCATCTTCCGGGACGTTCTGCACTTCATTGAGGTACTGGAGGCTGGTGGTGCCCTTCCTGCTGAGCCCCTGCCTGTGCAGCTGCTGCCCAGCTGCCTGGTGATCCCCATCTGCTGAGAGCCAGGGACACAGGTCTGGTGCCCAGGTTGCTGCTGATACCCCTCTCTCTGCTCAGAGCGGGGAGTACCAGGAGGAGACCATCCGTTTTGGCCTGGAGTGCATGTACGTGGATAGCTGGGCATGCCAGCGCACCTACCAAGCCTTCAAAGAGGTGCTGTCCTCTGGCATCTGCCACCACCTCCAGGTAGGCGGGGTGGTTGTGCAGGGAGGGGTTGCCAGGCCGGTGCTGCTGAGTGCTGACAGGCCCCTGCTTCCCCAGAACAATGAGCTGCTACGGGAGATCTTCGGCCTTGGGCCCCCCTTGGTGCTGGATGCACCTGCTCTGAAAGCCAGCAAGGTCTCCCGCTTCGAGAAGGTGGGTGCTGCCACCCACATTTGTGCCCTCAGTGCCCTTCTGTGCTGCCATGGGCTCCAGCCGAGTGCCTGAGCCTGGTGGGTGCCAGAGGGGAGCTGGGCAGAGGGGCACCCAGTAACCCATCTCTCCTTCCCTCCCCACCAGCACTTCTACAACTCGGCTGCCTTCAAAGCCCGCACGAAAGCCCGGAGCCGGGTGCGGGACAAGCGGACGGATGTGCTGTGACGGGCAGAGGGGGCAGAGGCCTTAGCCCACTTGGACTGCAGACCCAGCACTGTGAGGGGCCGGCGGGCCTAGCCCTCAGGCTTTTATTCATGTACAGCAAAGTATTTGGAGCTGCCCCAACGGGGGCTGCCCCCTCTTTTATTTTTTTAAACCAAAGCAAAAAGAAGGATCAAAGAAGAGCGGGGGGAGGTGGTGGCATGCTGCTGTGTGCCTGCTCTGTGGCTGGGGCTCTGTGTGCCATGGTGGAGGGGGTCTCGCGGGCAGGGCTCACGTACCCCCTCCCCAGTCTCATGGATGCCTGGCACAGCTTGAAGGACGCTGGGTGGGAGGGCAGAGCCATGCAGGGCAGCTGGCAGCACAGTGCCTGTGCTGGTGGTCTGAGTGTTCCCCACTGCCATGCTGAGCACAGCCTCTGCCTCCACAGCCAGCCTGGCATCCAGGGATGGTGGCAGAGCAGTGTGGGACATCAGGCTCTGCCCAGCCCTGCCAGCTGCCCACTCTGAGCCCTTTTCCAGCCAAGTGCTCTATATGAAATAGTTCTCTTATGGGAAATAAATTACGGGTGCATGGCACAGTGGGCAAGTCCTAGTGGTGCCTGTGCAGCCTCAGGGGCTGCTGCCCGTGTGAGCATGGGGCTGTGCCATCTGGAAGTGCCTTTTGCCCCAGGAATGTATTTGTGGTGGTGATTTTCTAAGACTTTGATTACAGGAGCTAATTAAAAGGCGAATTGGAGAGTGCCTTCTGCCTTCTTGTTAGGAGTAAGGGCTGTCACTGCCTGGGTGCCAGTCCTTGCAGCCATGTCCCTTTCTCTCACAGCCTAGGATAGGGGCCAGAATTGCCTCTGCTACTACTCTGCACCACATGAGGAGATGCTGCCAGGCCTGAATGGGGTGTGGGGCTGGTACTGCTGCCCACTTCCCCCTCCCGCCCTTCAGTACCCCTTTCCATGGTGACCCAGTGCCTGTGGTGGGGCCAGGAGCAGGTCAGCGGTGCCCACCATGCTCGGCGCTGGTGTTGAGGTGAGCCCAGAGCTGCCCATTGGCTGCCTGGAGCTGGTGCACGGCATCCTCTTGGGTCTCCAGCCATTGGGCCAGTGCCCGCACCGACTGGCTCTGCAGGACTGTGGGGAGAGGATGGGGACACGCTAGGGGTGGGCAGCCTGGCTCTCCTGCAGCGTCCCTCAGACCCTCCCGCCATACCCAGCACCACGTACCACTCAGGTATATAGCCAGTGTGGCCAGGACCAGGCTCACCAGGGCCAGGAGCCCCAGCAGGGCCAGGAGCAAGGGGTGGCCAGGGCAGAGGCTAGCAGTGGGCACAGGGCGCAGAGTGGGCAGCAGCGGTGGGGAGCCAGGGGGTGTGGGGCGAGGCGGGGGCCAGTGCAGGCTGCTGGGGGGAGCCGGGCCATTGCCTGTGAGCAGGGGAGAGAAATGGTCAGAGCCCAGTCGTGGGCACGGCCAGGGTTGGTGTGGGCCCCCCCCTGCCCCGTGCTCACCCTCAGTGCCCTTCTGCCCGCCCGAGGCCCAGTGCAGATCGCTGATGGACTCCACAGGGTGCAGGCTGATGGCTCCAGGCTCACCGCTGTCAGGGTCCCCAGGCTCTGAAGCACCCTCAGCCCGTCCCATGCTGTCTGCGGAGGCAGAGGGTGAGTGGGTGTCCTGCCTGCAGCCCCTGCCTGCACCAGGCACCCCTGCAGAGACCACGCTCCTTCCGGAGGTGACCCCACTTTGACACTAGCTGGGGCTGTGCTGGGGCAGGCAGCCAGTGCTGCGGCATGGCACGGTGTGGTGGCCGCAGGCGGGTGAATGCTGTCATCGCAGCAGTTCGCGGGTGCTTGGTGGCCAGGATCCCAGAGCCTCGTTAATGGGGCTGGAATCTGGTCCTGGCTTGGGGGCAGGAATGTGCCACCCCCCCAGTCCGGGTAGCCCAGGCACTGTGGGGCTGGCCAGGGCTCTCCTGGGCCAGCTGGGAGCCAACGAGCAGGGCTAGGGATGTGCCACCTCCAGCCTGCGGCATGGCTTGTCTTGCCCCATGGGCACCATTCTCATGCGCTGCTTAGGGGTGCATGGATGGATATAGGGTGTGTGCTATGCTGGGGGTCCTCGTGCCCACCATCCCTCTCAGAGAGCAAGCGGGCTTTATCAAAGCAGGCATGGCTCCAGCACCATCTGGAGACACACTAGGGTGAAGGGAATGATTTTGTCTATGTGTTTGCATGTTTTTGTGTGCTGGGCATGGCCCAGTGCTGTGCCTGCAGCAGAACAGGGTGTACTGTGCCAGCTCCAGTCCCTCCCAGGTCAGTGGTGTGTGGCAGGGCAGCCTGGCACCATGCCACTACTGTCGGGGTCCTGCATGACACCAGTGGGGCTGGCAGGTGTCAGAGCTGGGGGGGGGGGGGGCTCAGCTGGTGCTCAAGGGATCCCCAGACCCTTCCCAGGGACCGGACTGTCCTGTGGGTCTCCCCATCATGCTGCACCTGAGGGGCACAGGGGGTGGTGGAAGTTAGGTGCAGGGGCTGTGGCAGCCAGCTGCCTGCCATCTCCCCAAACCCAAATCCTGCTGCCCTGCACCTGCACCCCTCCAGGAACCCCTTCTTGCCCAGGCAGACATCGCTGCCCTCAATGCCCACAGCACAGGGCAGCTTTTGGCCACTGCTTCCATCCTAACCCCAGGACCTGGTGCCACCGAGTTCCCCCCGGGTGCCAGGGCCCCCCCAGCCCACTCCCAGCCTACCTTCTCCAGCCTCCCTGGGCATGGTTCCCTGTGCCCGGGCAGCAGGAGTGGGCAGTGAGGTGGTGCGGGGCCCTGGGAGCCGGGCACCGGGTTCCCAGTGCGCCAACTGTGTCGCTTAAAATAGGACAGTGAGAAACACAGTTGGGGGGAGGTAAAAATAGCTGTGGGGAGGGGGGCCCAGTGGTGCAGTCAGGGCTCCAGCAGTATAGTGCCAGCATGGCAAAGGGAAAGCAGCCTGTGGTGGTACCCATGCACCCTTCCTAGGGTAAAGGGGCTGACACTTCACTGTGAGATCAGAACAGAGCCTGTGCAGGAAAACTGGTGCACTGGTGGGTCCATCCAGAGCCAAAATGGGGTCTCTGCTGCCTCTCAGCAGCAATAGCAATTGTGCCCATCCTGGGGGCACCATGGAGGCCGCTCAGCTTTGCCCACAAGGACCATGCCTGCTGTGCCAGGAGGATTTATTTAAATTAATAAAATTCATAAAAAGCACGAGGCAGCAGCACTGCTGCCTACCTTGTCACCAGCCTCATGTGCTGGGCAGCAGGCAGGTGTCGGAGGGTGGGAGGTCATTGTGCCTGTAAAGGACATGAACATGAGTGAGCGCCAGGCAGGGGGTGGCAGGGCTGGGCTGGACACGTCGGTTACAGCCCTTGCCAGCCCATCCACGGTAGCAGTGGCAGCGGAAGGAGGCCAGTGGGCTGGCACCAGGGCCAAGGAGCAGGAAGCTGCCCAGGTCATGGGGCTGCCGGCGCACACAGCGCCCATGCCCATGGCACTGCCTGTAGCTGCATTCCCAGGCTGCTGCTGTCACACTGGCCACGTAGGGACCCAGGGTGGACACGATGTAGTGGCGCAGGCTGGCACAGCTCCCCTGGGGGGGGGGGAAGAACTGGTGAGAACTCACCCTGCCACCGAGGCCCCTCTAGCTATTCCTCCCCGGTGGGCACAGGGGATGTGGCTGTCCCATAGAGCCCATGCAGCTCCGACGCAGCCAGGTGCCATACTCACAGCTGAGCGGGAATACGACATGTCTCCCCAGAGCACGAGTCCAGCCACCCCCAGCGCTGCGCTCTCCCCGATGGTGTGCACCAGGTCAGCCTGCAAAGGACAGAGGGATGAGACTGGGCTGGGGGGCACAGGCTGTCCCCTAGTGCTGAGAAGGACCCCTGGCACACCCGCCGCCGGCCCCAGCCCTTTGGTGCTTACTGGCTCCAGGAACCGCGGTGAGTGGCGGAAGGACAGGCGAGAGTAGGCGACCACGGGCAGGAGGCCGCTGGTGCTGAAGGCAGCCACACGCAGAGCCTCGCGCAGCCGGTGGTGCACGTAGCGCTGGCGCAAGGCAGGCGGCAGTGCCGGGGGCAGGTAGATGCTGGGGTACAGAGCGGCTGAGGCGGCCCAGAGCCAGCGCAGCCGGTCATTGCGCTGCACGTCTGCTGCACGGCACTGCCCGGTGTAGTTGGCCACCTTGGCCCAGTTGCTGTTGAGGCAGTCAGGGAAGTGGTAGAAACCCCAGAGTCCCCCCGGGCGCAGGGTCCGGCCCAGCAGGAGCGTCTCCTCCATCAGAGCCTGTGCTGCCTGCTCAAACTGCCGCCGCGCCAGCCGCAGCTGCCATTGCCGTGGCAGGAGGCCATGCTGGTCCCGCACCCACTGCTCTGAGGCTGCCTGGTAGATCCGCTTGTTCCCCCAGTTTTGGGCCCAGAGGGGCCTCCACTCCTCCCAGTCCACCACGGCCAGGCCATGGAAATTGGGGTGCAAGAGGTCATGGATGTCCCCCGCCACCCTGGCGAGGTGGGCGCTGAGGGGGACCCGCTGGGGGATGCCCCCATTGTGGGGTATGCCCTGCTGCGACAGGTAGGGGTACAGCCCAAACTTGTCCTTGTAGAAGATGGTCATGTTTTGGCCAGCAAAGTGGCCATCTTGGTTCTCCACAATGCCGTAGTTGCCAAGGGGCAGCTCCACACCAAAGTGGTGCTGGCAGCGACTGGTGGGGACGTTCCACACCACCACAAAAGGCTGACCACCTGCCACAGGCTCCGCTGCCGGGCTCTCCCCGTCTGCTGTGCCCAGCACCAGGCAGGCCCACAGCACCAGCGCCAACACCATCCTGCTGGGCCAGCACCCTGCGGGGAAAGGAAAGCAGTTGGGCACAGTGCCATGCACGAGTACCCTGCTCATGCTGACACTGTCACTCTGGCATGTGGGCTAGATTTGCCACATGGGCCAAGCAGTCCCAAAGGGGCATGCTGCCAGCCCCAGAATCCCATGGGACACAGAAACTTGGGGGTTTTGGACACCTGCTGCATCAGTGCCACCAGTGGGCACTTCAGCCTGCTGTGCCCTGGTGCCCAGAGCTCTGCCTGCACTACAGCCACTGTTCTGACATGGCACTGCAAGCCACCAACCCCAAGACATCAGTTTTGCTGCTGGCTCCTACCCCTGCCTGTAGCAAGGGCACAGAATCACAGAATCATTGGGGTTGGAAGGGGCCCCTGGAGGTCATCCAGTCCAAACTGCCTGCTAAGGCAGTGCCACCTAGACCAGGTTACACAGGAATGCATCCAGGCAGGTTTTGAATGTCTCCAGAGAGGGAGACTCCACATCACTGGGCAGCCTGTTCCAGTGTTTTGCCACGCACAATGTAAAGAAGTTCTTCCCTAGGTTGAGGTGAAACTTCTTGTGCTTCAATTTACGGCCATTGCTTCATGTCCTGTCAGTGGCCACCACTAAAAAGATTTGGCACCATCCTCCTGGCACCTGCCTTTGAGATATTTATATCAACTAATGAGATCCTTTCTCCTGCATTTCATAGCAGAGCCCACCCAGGCCAGGCACCCTGGTGAGAGACTGAGCCCCCCAAGAACCATGGTGGAGTCAAAGCAGAAACTCTGTGCCCTGAATCAGGGCAGTGCTGGAGGGTGCCAGGTGCGCCAGTGCTGGCCAGTCACTGGGGTGAGGGATTAGGTAGGGAACAGGCCCAGTGACGCAGCAAGGACATTGCTAATCCCCTGGCGCAGCCCAGATGCTCGTTGACCTTCCAACGCCATGTCTCTGGCCCTTGCTGCTACCAGCTGCGCTGGTGGGGGGGGACCTGGCTGCCCACCCCACCGGCAGCGCGCTGCAGGGGGCCCTGCCATACTCGCCCGGTGCCCATCCAGCCACGTGTGCCTCAGTTTCCCCAGGCCACTCAGAGGGAAGAGCGGCAGCCACGCTGCTGGACATGGCCTACTGCCAGCCCCAGCTGCCCCACAGCGAGATCCATGGCTGCAGGACACACTGGTGAAACTGCAGAGCTGTTGGGACTGGTTGTACCCTCAGAGGAAGGATGGGGCTGGCTCCTTGCCATACTGGTGGTCCCAGGGCCCCAGCCAGGCAAGCTGGGGGCCTGGTGGGAGCAGAACCAATGTGCCCAGGCAGGACAAGGTGTGGGCCCACCTCCCCACCAGCACCCACCCCAGCAATGGCGCTGGGAAGGCTGGGGGAGCTGGTGCCAGACCTGAAGAATGGCAGCAGCCAGGCAGTGCCAGGGCGGGCAGCTCCTGCCCGCACTGCTTTAATCACGGGCTCAGAGCCCGGGCCCCTCAAATGTCCTTCTTCATCCAGAAGATGGGCAGCCCTTTGGCATCGCGGTGGGGGGTCTCCAGGAGGCTGCGCCCATTGCTCTCAGCCAGGACCCCCCTTGCCCAGATCACATTTGGTGGTGGAGGGGGTGGTGCAGGAGCAGCACGGGACGAGATGGGAGGTGGTGGGGCAGGAGGCAGCCTTGGCCTGGTGCTGCTGGTGGTGGTGGTGTCGGCACCAGGACGGGTGGAGAAGAGCCGCAGCACCTCAGCGGGTACGGTGGGGCTGAGGAAGGCCACGCTCTGCACCGGCTCGCCCAGGACAAAGCCCAGATGTGCGTAGAAATGCTGCTTGTCGTGGGTGGTGAGGTGCAGGCAGCCGAAGCCCCGGGCTCGGGCCCACTGCTCAGTGGCCTCCATCAGCCGCCGCCCGTAGCCCTGGCCCCGCAGCGCCCGGGCCACCACCACGCTCTCCACAAAGAGGCTGCGGGGCCGGGCAGCCACGCGGGAGAGCCGGACATGGCCCACGAGCTGGCAGGGGGCCTCGGCGGTGCCCTGGCTCCGCAGCAGCAGCAGGCAGGCGGGGAAAGAGTCTGAGGAGCGCTGGAGCATGTGGAGCCGCGACGCCCGGCTCTTTCCCCACTCCTCGCGCAGCAGCTCAGCACAGGCCTCCAGCAGCTCTGGCCTCTGGTGCAGGGGGACGAGGGTGAGCTCCTCCGACACGGAGCCCATTCTTCTCACTGGTGGGAGACCAACAGGCCACAGGTCAGAGGCGGTGGGGGGCAGATGGGGTGTTTCCCCCAGCCCACTCCGGCCCCAGCGCAGCCACGGCTGCCCAGCTCACAGCAGGATGGGTTCAGGGGGGTTAACGGCAGGTCTGAGGGTGCACGTCAGCACCACAGCAGGGAAGTGGCATGTGGGGCTCTGGGGTGGGCCCTGTCAGCCTCTGAGGGGTCAGAAACTCCCTGCTACAACCTGTGTGCTGTGGGGACCCCTCTCCCAGCCCGGTGGTCCTTCCTCTTGCAAAGAGAAGCCACGGAGGGCAGGAGGAACTGCCACACTGCTGTGTCAGCTGGGGATGAGCAAACTGCTCCACTTCCCCCTCTCGGTGGTGGGGAGGGCCTGGCCCTGCTCCCCCACACTCTCAGGATGTCCCCAGAGTCACCCTCCAGGCCTAAGACCTCTGGCTCCCAGCCCAGACTCCATCCTGCCTGGTTTGGAAACTAGGCAGCACCCCAAGGCCCCCTCAGCACCATCAGGCAGGGGATGCTTTTTTGTCTCCCCAGCAAACCCACACCGGGAACCCCCCACCAGCAGAGCCTGCACCCTGGGGGCCTTCAGTGCCAGAGGGAGCCCCCCTCATGTCTGGCCTCCTGCACTTCTGCCTGTGGTGCCCTGCCAAGCTTTGCCCGCCCTGGTGCCCAGTTCCCCCCTATGCCTGTCCCTCTCCAGCTCCAGCCTAGGGGCTGCCCACCCCGCCTGCTGCTGCCCATAGTCACACTCACCCTGCCTGCTGCCCTCCCTGCCTGCTGCTCACTCTGCCTGCTGCTGCCCATGCTCACACTCACCCTGCCTGCTGCTGTCGGCTCCTGCACCCTTGGTGCCTGTGCAGCAGGAAGCAGCCCAGTCTCATGGCCAACCGCAGTGCCTGCTTCTGCTTCCCCAGTGTGAATGACTCAACTGTTCAGAGCCCCACATGGCACCCCCCTGCCATAGCACCTAAACTAGACTGCATGTCCCACCACTGCAATCCACACTGCACCCACACGAGGTGAACAAACCTGAACGGCATCACCCAGCTGATCTCTGCCCCCCCACATCACTGATCCATCGTTGATCTGTCACTGACACATTGACCAGGTTTCCCCTAGTATCCAGTAGAGGATGGAGGTGCTCCTGGGCCCTCCTTTTATTGCTACTGTATTTGTAGAAGTACTTTTTATTCTCTTTTATGGCAGTGGCCAGCTTGGTTGGCCTTCCCCCTCATCTTCACCCACAAACACTCAGCCTTCTCACTCAGAACACTGAGCTGGAAGTGGTTGAGGCAGTCCCTGACATACAACGCAACCCCACCACCTCTTCCTCCTTGCCATCCCTTCTAAAGAGCCTGCAGCCGTCCACTGCAGCACCCCAATCATGCAAATCATCCCACCACGTTCCTGTGATGGTGATGATATCACGAATTCCCTGCTGCACAAGGGCTTCCAGCTCCTCCTGGTTGTTCCCCATGCTGCGGGCACTGGCACAGATGCACTGACGTTGCTCTGTGGATCTGGACTCCAACAGCAGCACGTTACTCCCTGGCTCATTTCTAGTGAGCCTGGGGTTATCCCTCCCCTATCCCGTAGGTCCCACCCATCTGCCGAAATCTTCTAACCCACATGATCTCTTACCTACTGCATCATCTTCCTCAGTTTCCAGACCCCCAGCTCCCAGGGCCTCGAATCACTTCTCGAGGGGTACTTGGGAAGGTGACCTGAGCTGGGGCAAAATCAGTGTGTACTACAAGGAGTAAGCTGTTTCAAGCCTCCCCTTTCTCCCAGGTCCCTTCATCTGTTTGGTGGCAAGAGGCAGGGCCAAGAGGGGGGCAGACAGCAGGGCAGGGGGTGGCACAGGGATTTCCCCCCAGAGGCCAATGTCAGGGTCAGGAGGGGTTCAGGTGGCCCCTGTAATGTGAGGATCAGCCCAGCTCTCCAAATCCTGGATCTGCCTCCTCCAAAGAGCTCTTCCTTGTCCCTGCAGCAGAGCAGAATGGCCTCCTGGAAGCCTGCTTCTGCAGCATGTTCCACTTGGCGCCGCAGGACAGCCAGGGACCCGAGGCTTGTCTCTACTGCAAGTTTCTGACACCCTGCAGCTGCAGAACATCTTCAAGGCCTGGCCTTGGGACAGGGTCCCCTTGGGCAGTGACCTCCGGCTTGAGCGGTGCCCCCCCCCCCGAGCCCTTGCCTCCTGGCTGCTACCAGAGCCCCTTCTCCTGCCCCAGCGCACCCAGGTCCTCACCCACTGCCTGTACTGCACAACCCTCCAGGCGCAGCTGCCTGTCTGGAAAGGGGAGCCCAGCCCTGGCGCTCTCCCCCTGCGGCTTCACGGGCCAAACCCCAGAGCCCCAGCACAGGTCCCCAGGGAGGGGTCACCCCAAAGCCTCGGGGTCCTCAGGGGCAGCGGGAGGGACCTCTTCTGAGCAGCAGGGCGGCAGCAGCAGCAGTGGGATGTGGGGACCCGCCTGGCCACAGCCCATTGCTGCGAGGGGCAAGGAGGACACGTGCCCCGTGTCAGGCACCGCCGGGCTGCTGTGCTGTGCCACCCCACCTTCTGGCACACCAACGCGTGCACCCGGCTGCCCGCCTCACCGGCAGCGCACTGCAGGGAGCTCTCCCGTACTCGCCCGGTGCCCGTCCAGCCACGTGTGCCTCAGTCTCCCCAGGCTGCTCAGTGGGAAGCGCGGCAGCCACGCTGCCGGACATGGCCTACTGCCAGCAGCCCCCTGCCACGGCACCCAGACTGCACCCCCCATCACTGCGATCCACACTGCACCCACACGAGGTGCACAAACCTGAACGGCATCACCCAGCTGATCACTGCCCCCACCCCATCACCGATCCAGCTCTTATCCGCCATTGACCCACCACTGACCAGTCACTGACCCGTCACCCGTCCCCTCAATGCCGGGCCCGTCACTGACCCGCCACCGCCTTCAGGACCGCCTCCCTCCCTGCCCCGCCTCTGCCCATCACCGACCCCCCTCTACTCCCGCGCCGCTCGCCCCCCTCGCCGCTCCTCCGGACCCACCGCTTCCGCCACCGCCCGATCACTTCCGGCGCCGACACCTCTCGGCGCCCGCAGCGCGCCCCTTGGCGGCCGGAGGCCGCGCTCCTCTCGCCACCGGTTGCGGCACGCGCGGTGGCCGGTGTCATGTCGCCGGGCGGAGCTCACCGCCACTGGCACCACATGAAATTGGGGTCTCGCTGGATACAGAGACTTAGGCACAGACAGGGCGACGAGGATGCTTAAACTGGTGTTTCACTGCCTCTGGAGGCTACAGTTCTGCGGGTAAGGAAGGCTGCAACAGGAGGACCAGATGTCTTCTCCCACCGCAGCGTAGGTTCCTCCTTTTGCTAAGCCTGAGAAACAGGTACATGGCTGCAAAAGAAAACACCTCGAGGAGCCTCTCAGGGTCGTAAATTGGAGCAAGGGGGCAAGGAGGGCTCCGTGGGGCTCTGGGGTCACAGGAGGGGTGCTGTGGAGAGGGGGAGAAGGGGCTTGAGCGGGGATGACATCGGGGCACTCTGTCAACCAGCCCTGCCTGCACAGTGTCTCAGGGACATGGTGGGAGCAAGGAGCCCCACAAGCACTCTGGTGGTGGGGGGTCCCCTTCACCCCTTTCCTCCCTCCCTCCCTCAGGATGGAGGCGAGACCCCCCAGCAAACCCAGACTGGCCTGGGTGGAGGAGGACGAAGCTGGCCCGGCTCCCAGCTCCGGGCTGAAGTGCAATGAGATGCGTACAGGTGAGTGCGCGGGTGCTGCGGGCAGGGGCTGCCCACCCTGCCCCGTCCCACGCTTGCAGTCCCCAGCCAGGCATCGGCCCCGCAGTGCAGAGCCCAGGGAACAGCCTCACCACAGCATCTCTGGGCCAGGAGCTCCCTCTTCCCCTGGTGCCGGGTGTCCTTCCTTGGGGCACACTGGGCCTCCCTCCCATGCTGCCCTCCCGCATCGCATCCTCGCCCCTGGGGTGCACGGGCGGCACCGTTGTCCCAGCCTAGAGCCAGGACTGGGGACATCCCTGAAGCTGGGCAGAGGGCTCGTGTACTGCCTGCCCTCCAGTCCTGCCTGCTCTCTCTTGGCCAGGTTCATGCATCTCAACTGCGGACGTGTCCAGCGAGGAAAAGAACAGCCTGGACACCATCGAGGCGTCCATCAGGAGCAGACCAAAGGTATCCACGACCACTTCCATGCGGCTGTGCCTGTGTCTCCTGCACGGTCTTTCTGCCTCCGTCCCATACTCAGAAGGTGCTGAGGGGTCTTACGGACCCCCCATCTGTCTCTCCCGCCTGACGATGTCTGTCCATCTGTCACCTCCCCGGCTGGCAGCAAGAAGACCAGAAGCTGAGGTTTCTGGAGTCCGTCTGCACCATCTGCACCACCAGCAGCATGCACTCCTTCCTGTGGGGCACGCTGCTGCTCTTCCAGCCTGAGCTGGCTGAGACCCTCGAGGTGAGGGGATGGCTGGTCAGGCTGAGGCAGGGTCAATGGCACAGCCCTGGGGCAGGAGAGGGCTCAGCCAGGCAGGGAGTGCGAGCGGAGCGAGCGCCGCTCTGGGGCTGCATCCTTGGCGATGCTCCAGAGCCACCTGCATGGCCCGGCTGCAGGTCCCTTGGCCAGGCTGTGCTCTGTGACGGGCGCAGCCCTTCCTGCTACGCGGCTGGGACCACTGCTAATGGTTGGGGGTGCCAGGATGGGCTCTGACAGCCCCGCGGGCTATTGCTGGATGAAGGAGCTGCCCTGTCCTGACCCATCCACACTGCTGTGCCCCTCAGGTGCTGCTGCAGGCCCGTTGATCGCCTGGACACCACGGTGCGGCAGCAAGTCATGCTGACCATCGCTGCCATGAGGTACCTGCCCAGCCCCAGCTCGGCGTCCCCGGCTACGTGAACGTGGTCGCTACGGGAGTGACCCCGCGGGCCGCGCTCGGAGGGCTCCTGGCAGGGGAGCCGGGGCTGCAGTGGCCGTAGAGGGCGGCCCGGACCGGGGCTGCTCCGCGCTTCCTGCCCGCCTGCAGCCAATAGGCGCTGCCGGGGGCGTGGCCTGGCCGCGGGGCGACAGCGGCGCGGGGGTGCCACGTGCGGCGGCAGCATGGCGGCTACGGCGGGCGGCAGGAGGGGCAAGGCCCCGCGCGGGGCGGCAGGACGGCGGAGGCCGCGGGCGGCGGTGAGGGGCGGGCGGGGAAAGGGGAGCGAGGAGGGAGCGCCCGCGCGGGAGGCGGCGCTCCCCTACCGTCTCCTTCCTGTTGATCACCCCTTTTCGTCCCGCAGGTCTCGGGCACCGAGGGGAGGCCGCGGGTGGCGGCCGGCCGGCCGGTCGACGAGGAGGTGTCCAGCGATTCTGAGACGGAAGGGTAGGGGCTGCGCCGACGGAGTGAGTTGTTGCCGGTGGGGGTACCGGTTCTCACGCGGATCTCCGCAGCCCGTTGCAGGGACGGCGGCGGCGGGAGGCGGTGGCGGCGGAGGAGGAGGTGGAGGAGACGCCGCAGGAGAAGAAGCTGCGCCTGGCCAAGCTTTACCTGGAGCAGCTGCGCCAGCACGGTGAGTCGTGCGCGGTGTCCGTGCTGTGGCTAGGCGGCCCCGGACCTTGAGCACGGCCCTTATGGACTGTGTCCGCTGCAGAAGAGGAGCTGGCAGAGGAGGAGGAGGAGACCCAGCAGGCGGATCTCATCGGCGACCGGCTGAAGGAAGACGTGGTGAGCAGGGGGCGGGCGCGGCCCCTCCGTCCCGGTGGCGGCTGGTGGCTGCGGGGCCGGGGCCGCCTCCGCTGAGCTCCCACTTACTCCCCAGCTCGAGCAGAAGGGCCGCCTGCAGCGCCTGGTCGCCGGGGATGTAAGTGCTCAGCACGGGGTTACCGGAGTGTAAATGCTGGCTTGGAGGGACACCTGGTCATGGTCATGGCTGGCACCCCAAGTTGCTGTGCTGGCTACGGGACCAGAGCCCTTATGCCACCAGGGGTGCCAGCTGCTGGCACCCTGAGGAAGGGAGGGTGCCGTGCTCAGGTACTGTGCCTGGGGAAAGGGCCAGGGCAGCCCAGTTTACATCCTGCTCTCCTTGTAGGTGCAGCCTCCGGATCCAGCCAGCATCCGTGTGTTTCGGGGACACCAGCTGCCCGTCACCTGCCTGGTTGTCTCTCCAGATGACAGGTTCATCTTTTCTGCTTCCAAGGACGGCTCCCTCATCAAATGCAAGTGTTCCCTTGGGGCTGTGACTGGCTCTTCCCACAGCAGCAGGGCCATAGGTGCCCACAGAGGTGGCTTGGCCCTTGCCCCCTCCGTGGACGTGCACGTGTATCTCTTTGGACTCTGTGAGAGGCTCCCATGGGGTGACGATGATGCCTTACCTGCAGGGGAGGTGGAGAGTGGGAAGAAGCTGTGTGTGGTGCCTGGGGGGAAGAGGGGCACCGAGGAGCAGCACATGGGCCACGCGTCCCACATCCTCTGCATGGCCATCTCGTCAGATGGCAAGTACCTGGTATGGGGAGAGAGGGCTGGCATTGCTGTACGGGACAGAGAAGTGGCTATGGAGAGTGCATCCCTCCTGCAGTCCTGGGGGGTGGTGTCTTATGCCTGGATGTACTTTGCTGGGTAAAAGCAGCCCCTTCCCCCACTGGAGTCAAGAGTGGATCCCTGGGAGCCACATGGGCGAAAGAATGGAGGCTGGGATGGGCATTGGGCATGGGGCAGGCGTTGGGCATTCTCTGCTGTCTTTCAGGCCACGGGAGACAGGAACAAGCTGATCATGATCTGGGACACAGCTACCTGCAAGCGCTTGCACATCTTCACTGGGCACCGGGACGCTGTCTCAGTGAGTGAGGGACATCAACCACCCTGCCTGCAGGGCCGGGCAGCCGTGTTCTTCCCGGTGCCCCTCACTGCTGTGTTATGTCCGTCCATCTGTCTGTAGGGCCTGTCCTTCCGGAAGGGCACGCACCAGCTGTACAGTGCCTCCCATGACCGCTGTGTAAAGGTCTGGAATGTGGCGGAAAATGCTTATGTAGAGACGCTGTAAGACCTGGGTTGGAACCCCACTGACCCTGCTGCCATGGGATGCACCAGCGGCCCCAGGAGAGGCAAGGCTGCAAAGGGCCATGCTCCCAGCAGCTCTTTGCAATCTCCTTCTCCAGGTTTGGGCACCAGGATGTCATCACGGGGCTGGACAGTCTGAGTCGGGAGTGCTGTGTGACGGCAGGGGGACGGGACGGCACTGTGAGGCTCTGGAAGATCCCTGAGGAGTCACAGCTCGTGTTTTGTGGGCACCAGTAGGTCTGGGGCAGGAGCAGGGCCTGTGGCAGGCAGCAGCACACTGGGGATGCTGATGCCCCAGTGAGCCGTTGTCTTCTAAATGCGATCCCAAAGCATGTTCATAACTGATAGTAGTTGCCTCTTTTGTTCAAAGGGGCTCCATCGACTGCATCCAGCTCATCAATGAGGAGCACATGGTGTCTGGAGCTGATGATGGGTGAGCACAGGCCCAGGATGGTGCCTGGGGGACGGGGCAGGCAGTGCCCCACTCAGCACCCTCACTCTGCCCTCCTGGCAGGTCTGTTGCTCTGTGGGGGGTGACAAAGAAGAAGCCACTGGCACTGGCCCGGCAGGCACACGGCATGCAGGATGCCCAGGGCCTGCAGCAGCCGTACTGGATCTCAGCGGTGGCCGCCCTGCGCAACAGTGACCTCCTGGCCACAGGTGTGTGGCAGCTGCTTTGGAACAGGGGTCTGGGGAGTGTATGTGTGGAGACATCCTGCTCCTGTGCCCAGCTGGGTTGCATGACAGTCTCCTTTCTCTGCCCCAGGATCCCACAGCACCAGCGTGAAGCTCTGGAAGTGCAGTGAGGGATTTCGGAAGCTGGAGCCTCTCTGGGACATCCCCTTAGTATGGATGGGGAGGTTGGGGATGCTGGGTGGGAGTGGTGTCTTGTCTTGGGGGTTCCCCTGCCTGAGTGGAGGCAGAGGAGCCCTTCACCTGCCTTGTTCCCTCCAGGTGGGTTTTGTCAACAGCCTCAAGTTCTCCGCAGCTGGTGACTTCCTGGTGGCTGGCATTGGGCAGGAGCACCGGTACTGTCTCCCCTGCCCAGCACTACCCAGGGGCGCAGCCCCACCCCCTACAGTGCTTGGCTCAGGGTGACCCCCATCTCTTTCATCTGTAGGCTCGGCCGGTGGTGGAGAATCAAAGAAGCCAAAAACAGCATCTGCATCATCCCACTGAAACAGAGGGCCACAGTTCCCAGCCCGGAAGGCCCTGACAGCTCTTAGTATGGCTGGAGCCATGTCCTTAAACTGCTGTCCCTGGAGCTGTGCCCCGTGTTCTTCATGCAACCACCTTCCTTGGGACAGCAGCATGTCAGAGAGGGCTGTCGCGTAGCCTCTTACCCTGCTGCTCCCCATGGTGTGCCATGGCTCTGCCCTCTGCGAGGGTCTGTCCCCTTCCCTCAGGTTCAGTCATACCTGAGCTCTGGAAGAGTCCATTAAAAAAAACCTAAACAACAAAACCACTTTATTTACATAAATTACAAAAAGAAAAGTCACACTCTTGTTCACAGAATAAATCTACTCTTAAAAACTTGTTTGGGCGCAAATATCTGGGTCCCATTACTTGCCTTCAGCCACTGCCAGCCCCCCCCCGTGGCTCTTGGGGGGACAGGGGGCAGTGGGCATTCCTCCCTGCTCCTGCCCTTTCTCCCAGGAAGGTGGGGAGCAGCACCCCACACAGTGAGGGGAGGGATTTGAGGGAGCTTGGGCCCAGCCCAGCAGCGCTCAGCAGTTTTCCTGGGGCCAAAAACGAGGAGGAAAAGGTGAAGCTGTGCAAAGTGCCGGGGCAAGGGTGGCATGGGGCATGGCTGGATAACAGAAAGGACCCGCAGCAGGAAAGCAGGGTGATGGGGTGAGGACAGTGTATGCCAGCACAGGGCTTGCAGTGGACGGAGCAGGAAGTGCAGCCCGAGGGAAGTGTGACTTGCGATAGGGCTGGGGGAGACAGTTGGGTTGTGCGCTACGGTTCAGTGCGAGGGATGTGGAGCAGAGCTGGCACCACAGTTTGGGGGATGTGGGGGACACTCACCATGGCTCAGTGCAGGGGATGTAGGAGTGCACAATGGCTCAGTGCAGGTAACTTGGAGGGATGTGCACCGTGTCTCAGTGCAAGTGGCAGGGGCACATACATCATGGCTCAGTTCAAGGATTTGGTTTGTTCTCCATGGCTCAGTGCAGGGGACTGGGGATGTTCACCACGGCTTAGTGCAGGGGACGCGTAACGTAGTTCAAGTGCAAGGGAAGGGTGACACGTACCATGACCCAACGTGTGGAATGCGTAGCTTGTGCTGGGGCAGGGGCTGAGCCTCCTGCCTGCCTCTGGCACCTGAGCAGTCTGTACTGTGATGCAGGCACTGCTGTCCTTGAGGAGGGGGCCGGGTGCAGGGTGGCCGCACTATGGCCTGGTCCCCCTGTCCTTCACAAGGATGACGTTGTGGAGTCCACCACCTCTCGGCCGTTGCACACTGTGGGCACATACTGCGAGGCAGAGCCTGGGAATGAAGGAATCAGTTAGGGGCAGGTTGGGGTCTGGCACCAGCAACCCACCCTCAGGGCATCCCACTCCGGTGGGAGATGAGTGCTTGGGGAGCTGCATCCCTCAGGGCTGGGATGGAGAGTATTTGGGGTGACCATGTCCCCTCAGGGCAACGACAGGGCCCTGGGCACAGTATCCCCCCTGGCAGGACATGCTGCAGTCTTGGGGCTTGCAGGCATGAGAGGTGAGAGATTGGGACGGAACACAGACTGTGGTCCCTATAGGGAACACAGCATCTTTCACACTCCCGTTTTCAGCCACACCCTACCCTGCACCCCACTTTCATTCAGGGGCTCATGCTGGGGTGCTCCTGCCCCCTCCAGGATGGGGGTGCTGCCACCCAGCCCTTCCCCAACCCCACCATGCTCACCGTGGGACTGGCTGGAGCTGGCGGCTGCCACGCTGAACCGAGCAGTGCCCACACGGTGGCTGGCCACATTCTTCTGCGGCTGGAAGAGTATGATGTGAAGCTTGGGGGTGAAGAGGCAGCCGAGGACCACAGTGCCGCTGAGGCTCACTGAGATGCACATCGTGGTAGTCTGGACCTGGAGACAGGGGTGGGCATCAGGTGCTCCTGCCACCAGCCCTCTGCCCGGAGAGGGGCAGGATGAAGCCTTCACTGCAGCACCAGCCAGCCCCACCAGGTAGGGGCTGCTGCCTGCACCCCACAGGGACAATCCCACCCCCTACCACGTCCCTCCATCAGAGTGGACCCACAGCAGAGGATGGGCACTGCCCTGATGGGGACATGCTGCCCCTGCAACCCTGAGCAGCACCCTCTGCCCTGCCAACAGGCTGCTCTGGGGCAGTGGCCAGGGTCAGAGCCCAGCACCCCCACCCCAGTGCCCGCTCCCACTGAGGAGTGCAGGTCCTCTCTGGAAGCCCCCAACTGCAGCTGCCTCCCATCGAGTCCTCCGGGCCTGGCAAGAATGTCCTGCCTTGCCAGGCGGGTTGAGGTGCTGCAGGGTGTGCCCTGTGCTCCCCTGCCCCTGGCACTGCTTAGCTCCACAGGCACCATGCTGGCCCTGAGGCTGGCTTTCATGCCCTGCTTGGGGGAGTATCTGTATGGGCCAGGGGCATTCTCATGCCTTCGTGTTGCAAGGCTGAAGGATGGAAATCACTCCTCTGTGGTCAGGTCAGGGGTCTCTGGAGGTCTCAGGTCCATTTTCCATCCTCACCCTAGCAAACAGTCTGTCAAGGAGCGGTTGGTGCCTTCTCCTCAGGAGTCATTGCCCCTTCAGCCATACTTCACCTGGTCCCAAACTCCCCAGTGCAGAGGTGACCATCACCAAGCCTGTAGTTTAAGACCCTTCTCCAGGCCTATGCAATCTCTAGTCACAAACCCCATGGGGGCCCAAGTGGCCATGACCACTCAGATCAAGCCTTATTAAAACCCCCTAAAACTCAGGCTCTTACACGATAGTCGCTGGAGGTCACGTAGAAGATGGGCAGGAAGGCCAGCCAGATGATGCAGGTCGTGTACATGGTGAATCCGATAAATTTGGCCTCATTGAAGTTTTCAGGGCATTTCCGTGTCTTGAAGGCATAGACCGTGCAGAGGACAATCAAGAGGACATTGTAGGTGAGCGAAATGAGCATGTTGGAGTCACGGTTGTTGCACTTGAGGGTGACGATGTACCTCTTGTCAGGCTCCGTCTCCTTGCCAGTGCCAGGGGTTTCCACCAGCAGCCAGATGATGACGATGATCAGCTGGCAAGAGATGAGGGCCATGCAGATGACTACCTGTGATGTGGGGCTTATGAACCGGGGACGCTGGACCCCCTCCTTCACCCCACTGAAGATCCTGGCAATGCGATTTGTCTTGGTCAAGAGGGCCGAATAGCAGACAGCGAAGGACGTGCCCAGTCCCAGGCGCCGGAGCGTGCACACCTCAGTGGAGGGCTTTGCAATGAAGATGAAGGTCATGCTATAGCACATGAGGACCCCGGTCAAGAGAATGTAGCAGAGCTCCCGGCCAGAGGCCTTCACAATGGGGGTGTCATTGTTCTTCATGAAGACTCCAAAAACAAAGAGTGTGGAGATAAAACCCAGGCAAGAGATAGTGACAGGACCAATGGCCCAGGCATCTTTCCAGCGGATGTACTCTTGGGGCAACTCATAGCAGCCATTCAGGGTCTCATTGGGCCAATAACCAAGACCACAGTCCATGCAGGTGAACTCATCCAGCAAGTACTCATAGGGCTGGCAGGGGATGCAGATCCAGCAGCATATGTCTCCGGGCTGCATGCTCTTTATCTCATTCTTCTTGCAGGGGTCGCTGCACTGGGAGACAGGGATGGAGGTCTCAGCCCATGGGATGAGGCTGGTGTTGAGGATAAGCCCCTCAGCCCAGTAGCCCACCTTCTGGTACCGATACCGCCCATCCACGTGGTGATAGTTGAAGATGTTGTAGCGCCCAATCCCATCACCGTAGCGATCAAATCGAACAACGCTCTTGGTGTCTGCTGGCCTGAAAGGAGCTAGAGGGAGGAGAAGGGGAGATGGTCACTGTCATGGGGCAGGAGAGGGCTTGCTCCTGGCCTGGAGGAAGGGCTCCTTCCAAGGGTCACATGCCACCATGGCCACAGGCAAACGTCAAACCTGTTCCCTGCCTTCACTCTCATACTTGCTGCCCATGCACATGTTAGGAGCAGGAAAGCAAAGGTGGAGAACTGCCTCCTCATGTGTCTAACAGCTCAGCAGCCTCAGCCAGATCTGCAGGGGCAATGTGGGGATTTACAGTCTCTGCGCCTGTCAGTGACACTAGAGTAGCTGGGCTCAACCCAAGTCACAGAGGACACTCTTCTAATTCATCCCAAACTGTGTGGGTTCCTGATCAAGGGTATCCCTCCAGTTTAACCCCTGAAATGTGAATAATCACAATGCTTGCAAGTGAAGTCTCTGAGGACCCATGTTCTCAGAGGGTCTCTTGTGGGACTGATTCCACCTAGCTAAAACATGATGGATTTGGTCACCAGCTTCTCTACAACAGGGACAGAAGGCCTGGGTTGCCTCCCAGCATAGATAGCGGACTGTTGTCATCCTGGGACAATCACAGCCCATGGCACAGAGGTCCCCAGGTGGGGGAAGGCTGGAGGACTTGGAAGGTCTTGGGTCAAATTTAGGTCTCTTCCTTGCCCCACAACCTGCCCCTTTCCAGTTAGGCAGCCAACCCCATCTCCACCTCTAGACTCACCATCAAAATTAACATTGAGCATAAAGTCCTTGTAGAACCTCTTGCCATTGACAGGCTTCATGGCATCGCAGAGCTTGGTGGTGTTGGGGCACAGTGCCTGGTGCATGTTGTGGAGAGAGTGAGCCATGGCGTAGACTGCATTGACCACAAATGTGATCTTGGACTCTGGCTCAAACTTGCCTGTCTTGAGGGAGTACCAGCTACAGTCCTGTGTGTGGAAGCTGCACTTGAACTTCTGCTCCCAAAACTCCCGAAACCAGGGATTTCGGCTGTTATTGTAGGGGTTAAGGTTACGGAAATAGGCAGCAAACTCCTTAATGGGGTAGGCTGCCAGTTCGATGGTGATGGCTCCCTCTGCCACCGCTTCGCTCCCAGCCACCACGCTCTCCAGGGCCCCCCATCCATCACTGGCCACCCACATGAAGGACACGTTGGCTCTCTGGGCAGCTGCCAGCAGCTCCCGGGCATCTTCACTTCGGGAGAACAGCACAACCACCCTGGCATTGGGCTTCTGCTGCAGAGCTCGGACCACGCTGTCGTAGGTCTTCTTGTTCATGGAGCGCCCCACCTTCTCCGAGGTGGCAATGCAGATGTTGCGCATGCGGGCTTCTTGCTCAAAGGCCTCGATCCCTGTCTCCCCGTAGTCACCCTCTGAGGCCACAGTGGAGACATAGGTCCAGTTGAAAAAGCGGAGGATCTCTGCCATGGCTTTGGCTTGGTAGAAGTCTGGTGGAACAGTGCGGGCGAAGTAGTCATAGCGGGACTTGTCACTGAGCTTGGCGCTGGTGGAGGCATAGCTGAT